TCTCAGTCCATTATTAATTAGAATAGAAAATAAAATTCTTGGCCTTAAAATAAACATGGTGTCTGCAGGATCAGCTTAAAAGAAAAGTCAAGGGTTAATTGTATTTTAAAGAAAAGTTGTGCGTCAAATTTTAATGGAATGTAAGTAAAATCGAAATGGAGCAAGTTCCAGCAAGATTTCTTCTGTCTTGTCTTTTATAGACAAGACAGAATAAGAAAATGTAAAAGTTTTAGAGATGATGTGGGATGAGCTTTTTATAATTTCTTGCAAAACTAATTAAGAGGGGTTAATTTTAACGACTTTATAAGAACTTCCTGAACATCATTTATGATAGATGAAAATTAATATGATATGAAATTTAATTACTTATACTATCAGTGCTATCCTTAGTAGTCCAGTTAAAAAATCACAAAAATTCAATCCGAGATAGATGCTTAAAGAGAAAGTTTCTATCGGAGCCTAGGTTCGATTGACTAACTCCTGCTGTTTACAAACATCAATACAAAACTATAAAAAAAAAATTAAATTTTTGGATTTATACCAGATTTTAAGACGTTCTGCCCTGTTGTGACTCCGACTAATATGCGGCGAGACACACAAAAAAACTTACAGGATAAGGATTAAGGCTGGAGAATAAAAAGATAAAAAGACAATGTGCTCTTGAAACAAGTTAGAACAACAACTTTTATTAACCGTAAGAAAAGTAATACAAAAAAGTATCATTTTCCAATACAGATGTTAAAAATATATTAGATCAACATGTGACGTCACAACATCTCCTTCCCCCTTAAAAGAAAATTTTGCTCCTTTTAGAAAAAAAAATAATAAGAAGAAAAATGTAGTCATACACAAATGTCCTTCAGTCTGGTGAATACCGTACTGGTTTACGAATAGTTCTTTTAGGAAGGGAAGATGTTACTTGGTCTTGATCAAGACTGTGATGTTCTTCTGCTTGTTAATCCTCTTGTTTGTTGTCTAATACTTCCTCCGGGCTAAGATCCTCTTGTTCATTTAGACCCCCTTGTTCATTTAGACCCTCTTTACGGGAGTTCCGTCCATGCTTTTGTTCATTTCGTTCTATATCCTGATCATATTCATCCTAAGTAACTGTATCGCAACGTCTCGGAGAGCCAATGGTATCATCTTTGACTAGCAACTGACTTCTGGATATGTCAACATACCAGGCAAATGTTTTCCTTGGAGATATGGCCACAACTGTTTTAAGTGTCTCTTCCGCAACAAGTTGTGTTCTGTTTTGATGAGGTAGGTTTGTGGTCCCAGGGTGTCTTGTACGCATCCTTTGGTCCATTTGGGCGTGTTCGAGCATAAATCCCTTGCCCAAACCTGTTCTCCGACATGAAATAATTTCCGACGCTGGCCTCCGTTTTTAATCATCTTTTCCTTGTGGGTCTCCAAGATTTCTTCCGTCGACGGCAACAAAAGGTCAAAAATTGTTCTTGGTTTCTTTTGAGAAGTGGATTTGCTGCAGATTTCCCAGTTGTCGCATGCTGCGTAACAAATTATCATTCAACGATTGGCACAAATTTTTCTCTTCAGCTAAAGACTTCAAAATACATCTTTTTGAAATTCTGACAGCTGACTCGGCACTACCATTTGATTGGGGATGAAATGGAGCCCCCACTAAATGCTGAATCCCATATTTGTACAAAAAAATTGAAAATTCTGAGCCTATGAAGCATTTGGCCGATGTTAAGGCTCGAGGTAACCCAAAACGTGTGAATAGTTCTGAGAGCTTAGACATAGCTGTCTCAGCCGTCATTGATGATACTAAAGAACCTTCGATCCATTTTGTTGTTGATTCCATGACCACAAAACAAGAAATTTTCTTATTTATAGGCCCCAAAAAATCAATGTGAATCCGGGTTCAAGGGCTTTCAGGCCATGGATATGGCTGTAAAACTGCTTTAGGTGGGGACGGTCGAAAATGGCAGCAGGTCTCACACGAGTTGGCACACTGCTCAATATCTCTATCCACCAAAAATAATTTCGAGCGAAACTCTTAATTTTGACTGCACCTAGATGATTTGCGTGAAGCAATTGCAAAATTTTATTCTTGAATTTTTCGGGTATGATAACACGGTAGTCCCGTTTTCCGTTCTCCAAAAATGAAAAGTAAGGGATGGTGATCTGTCACAAGGGTAAACTCTTTTAGAAATAAAAAATCTTTAAAATATGTGATCCCAAATATAATAGCCCAAGCTTCTCTTTCGATGGTGGTATACTTGCATTGTGCATCAGTCAACATTTTAGAACCATATGCTATAGGACGTTCATTATTTTTATCAATATGAGAAAGAACTGCTCCTACTGCTTTGGCTGATGTGACTACTGTTAATTGTAAAGGTAAACTTGGATCAAAATGTGCTAAGACTGGTTCAGAAGTTCAGAAGATCTTTTTAATTTTTTCAAAAGCTATCTGACAGCTTGTTATCCAGATAAATTTTACATTTTTTTCCCCTAAACGATATAAAGTATATAATATTTCAGAAGCATTAAGAATAAACTTTAGATGAAACGTCACCAATCCGAGGAACGATTTGAGAGTAGTTGCATCCTTAGGTGGTGGAGCATGTTTTTTGGCTTTTATATGCTTATCTGTTGCATGCAATCCTTTCTCGTCAAATTTATGCCCTAGATATTCCATAGAATTGCACCCAAAAGAACATTTAGTTAATTTAACTCTCAGGTTGGCTGAGTTAATAATTTTGAGTACCTTGTCAAGCCTTTGGTTGTGTTCCTCTCTGGTCCTACCGCTGATGTAAATGTCGACCAGCAAAGATCCCACTCCCTGGAGTCTTCAGAGTAGATTGTCCACAACTTTCTGAAACTCTCCAGGTGCACTAGTGATTCCGAAGAACAATCGTATGTGCCTAAGCAAACCCATATGAGTATTAATTGTAGTCAAAGGTTTTGAGTTATCTTCTAAAAGGAGTTGCTGATAAGCATCTTTCAAATCAATCTTTGAAAAGAATTTAGCTCCGCCAAATCTTAAGCACATTTGATCAAGCCTTGGAAGAGGGTATTGGTTGCTCAACAGGACTGGATTTATGGTAAGGCGATAATCTCCGCAAATGCGAATACTTCCTCCACTTTTAAGGACTGGAACTATTAGAATAGCCCATTCGCTACACTCAACTTTTACCTAGAAAAAATACCTAGCTCAAGAAGTCGGTTCAATTCATCTTCCACTTTACTCTTCAATAAAATAACCCCCTCTCAAAATTTGAGGTTTTACTTTTCAGGATACATAGAATTCGAAAAACGAATAAAAATGTTTTTGTCCCTCCGCCGTCCGCACATTTTCTCCGAAACTACTTGACCGATTTTTTTCAAATTTGGACATGAAATCAGAGATCTCCCGAGGATGATCCTCCTTCATCAACATTACTATCCACCCTTTCTTTCAAAATGGCGGCCGAAAAACCTTCGTTACTATTGACGCCTGAACGTATGTACCGATTTCAATGAAACTTCGTTAAAGTCATTTTATCGGCACCATTTAAATTTATACACGTTATTAATTAAAATTACACACTTTTTGGTTAATATTGTATATGGTTTTTCTTTGTAACAAGGAAGGTAATGTTACTTTAGATGTACAATTGTTTGAAAATAATAAACCATTGTGAAATAATTTGCTGCGTTTATATATATATATATATATATATATATATATATATATATTATATATATATATATATATATATATATATATATATATATATATATATATATATATATATATAACATTAGAAAATTCGTCTATGAGGATGAATTTTCCCTACATTTCAGTTTTCATTAAACAGCCGCTATTTCGAACTTTTTTTCCTACATTCAAGAGATAAAGGGGTGAGCCCCCGGCTGAATCCGCTAGTCACGATATTATTTTTTTTATACCTCATTAGAAATTTCATTCACTACTACGATCAACTAAACTTCTTCTCCCGTACAAAGTCCTTATATGGCCGGTTTTGACATACGGATATGAAACATGTACATTGATGAAGGCCAGTGAGACTAAAATATTAGTTTTCGAAAGAAAGGTCCTTCGGAAGACATTTGGCTCTGTTAAGCAGAATGGTGAATGGAGAATTAAACACAATCAATAACTAGCCAACTTATACAAGGAGTCGGATGTGGTGAAATATATCTGGATAGCAAGGCTGAGATGGGAGGGCTCTGTTATACGAAAGGAAGAGACCTCAACCTCAACGAAGCTGCTGAGCACGGAGCCGGGTGGAAAAAATAAAGTGGACAGACCGAAACTGAGATGGAAAGATAGAGTAAGTGCTGATGCTAAAATCCTTGGAATCAGGAACTGGTGGACGGCTGCTCAGAACAGGAAGAAACATGGAAGAAAACTCTTGAGGCAGCCAAGATCCAGTAATGTTTTACCGAGGATGATGGTGACCCGTTATTACAAAATTCGTCTTAGAGGATGATTTTTACCTATACTTCTCTTTTCTTTAAATATTTGTTTTTTGGAATTATTTTACCACCATTTAGAGGGCGCGCCCTCTGGCAGAATTCACTAGTGCTGGTCACCATAATAACTTTTTTTATATTACCTATTGAAATTTCTCCCAAATATTACTTTAAATCTAGTAGCTTCACTTTGACTAATTTCCTCACCCAGATTCTGTTAGGTGATATGATGAGTCATGTATGTTTTTCCTATAAGAAAGATAACCAGCGACTATCTTAACCTTTTTTTTCTCTCACATCATCTTTCCTATTTCCTAGGCACTGTTCAGCTGTTAGGAGCAACAACTGCGCCCAATTCATCCACTGAAGCTCGGAACATCTCTTCTTCCAGAATAATCAGCAAGCCATCAAAGACCAGCTTCCATAGAGGCTGATTTTCTGATCCCAGAGGGAAGCTTCTATCTATGGAAGCTTCTACCTCTTAAAAACTATCTGGAATATTTACCCTCTTGTCTTTAAAGTAGCTTCTCCCAAGAGAATACAAGTCAGGTTATCTTTTCTATAAAGCTGCTGAAGCACAAGGGGCCACCAGATGCTGTCAAAGTTGGATTATATGTATAGAGTAACATGAAAAGTCACTCCTCTCTGTTTAACATCTAAGCTTACTATCAACAAGACATCGCCGGTTCCCTTGCCAATAATTTAGAAAAGTATAAATTAAATCTATATAACACTTGTTTCTTTCAATAAGAAGATAAAATAATGAATTTTTAGATTGTTTCATTAGGTATATTTAGTACATACCAACTTATCGCTCAATTTAAACTTATTTAAATTCCAAATACATTAGAGAGATCATTGTAAATAGTGTTAAGTAATACAAAAAAGTCTCACTGAATTTGAAACTGCTTAACATAAAAAAAAAAAGTGTTTTCTTTTGCAATAAAATATTCTATTAGTTATAAACATTTGAAGATAAATCTGATAATAAACATCTGAGTCATGAAAATCAGATCAACATTGAGTCAGCAGCATTCCTTCAAATTAAAAAAAACACATCAACTCTGTTATTATAACTAAATGATTACAAAAATTCTAGTCTGGTGAACAGAACCTTTTTATCACATTATTAACATCAATCTAAAACTTTTTGAAAGGCTTCATATTTTCATGACCTACAACTTTTGTATTATATGTTCTCAATCAGATTAGTAAACATAGTCTATTTAATTATAGTAAAAACTCATGAACACCCATTTGTTTTCCACTAGAATCACAAATAATTTGATCACAGAATCAAGAAAAAAAAGGTAGCCTACAAAAATATTGAGGTGTTTGTGTTATAAAACCTAGTTATTTTGCTGATATCCACCCCAACTAATCAAAATACGTTATTTAGATCAGATGGCACAAATTTTTGTAGGCCACATTTTCAGAATCTCATCAAATTATTTCATGATCCAGATAGAAAGTAAATGGGTATTCATGGGTTTACTGATTGATTAGTGCCTCATTAAATTAATTTAATAAACAACCAAACCATTTCTGATATTTTTTAAAACAAAAAAGCGATTGGTTAGGATAAGATTAAAGTCATTCAGGAAATATTAGATGGATGTTACGAATTTTATAAAAAGGGATCTAAACTGCAAACTATTCTTTTGTATATAAAAATTACAAATTATCAACTAAAGGAAGACAACTTTGTTAAAGGACTAGGAAATAATAACAAAATATTATAGATGAAAAGTTTATTAAACTTACATTTTCCCAAAAAAATACTACAAAACTATGACATTCAGTCAACTCGAATTGGTGAGGTAACTTTGGTAATAATCTGAGAAATACTTTCTCAATAACTAATACAATAATAAAGTGAAATATTTATTAAACAACAAAATTGGAAATAACATTCTTAGAACTAGGGAAAGAAAACTGAAAACATTAATAATGAATACAACTGACCACAGCCAGGAATTTAAGACATATCAAAGTAAATAATCTTCAAAATGGCTATCATGATGCTAAGGCTAAAAGTTCTAGAAAGTTTGACAAACTATTACTACTAAAGAAGAATGGAAAAAACAAAAACAAAAATTCATCCTTTTTTTTGTTAAGATGAATTGAGTTGCTTGTCGAGCATGTAAATTCCAAGTCCTTCCTTGACACGACGAACATTAGTGAGCAGATCTCCAAGAGATTTAATTGAGTCAACTTGTTCTTGCAAGAATTCATTTTCGATAAAATCACAGAGGTTAGCATCTCCATGAGATGATGCAACACCATGAAGATTCAACAAGCTCTATAAAATAGAATTATTATTTTATTAATTAGTTTAATATGGTTTGTCATCACGGAAAAAATATTACAATTAAAAAACAAGCATATTGATGAAAATATATACTAAATATGAAATAATAATTCCTCGGTTTTAGGGACAATTAAAGTGAGGAGTTACTCTTGGAATATTAAAGATCTCAATTACATAATTCTTGACTAAGCAATGATTCTTAAAATTTGTATTCAAACCAGACAAATATCCACACCATAAATTCATCATTATCTAGTTTCACACCTGATCCTCTCTGAACAATTTAAAGGAGCACCAGGAATTCTACCATGATGTGAAAATAAAAATATTTATGTTTGAATTATTTAGAAGCATTATAAAATTCTAAAGAACCTAAATAGCCATTAATTAATAAACAGGAGTTTATAATTATCATTGCTTAAAGGTCATGATGCCTAAGCAAAGGAAGAGCCCTAAAACAGCATCAGCTAATTCAGGAGATTCAATGTATCGGACAAATAAAGGATGATATATAAATGCATATGTAATTATCTTGACAGCTATAAATTCAAACTAAGCCAGTTAAATAAAATAACAAATTCAAAAGACTACTGACATTAAAAAAATCAATAAAATTTAGTTATTTTTTTTCTAATCTCGGTACCCAAGTCATTATTTTAATTTTTATTATCTGAGAGGATTGCACTGCTAATTATTAAATAAATAATTATAATTAACATAATGCCATATGGAATTTCAATAAATAAAGATCAAATTTGAAAAATAATCACAAAAAAAGAAAAATATGAGTACAAAATGCATTCAGTAATTTCTTTGTAAAATCAATTTCAAATGATATAAAATTATAATGTAATTATTAATAAGAATTATTCAACCAATGTATTAATAGAGATATTCTGAATATGTTAAAATTCCTTTCTCCTTCTTTGATTGTAAACCTCGTACCAAACTCTAATTACACTTTTTAATTTCAAAATTACTTTTTAAAAATTAAACATCTTCAAGATGCTGAGTATTTCATATTACTTAGTTAATCTAATATTAGAAAGTCAGAATTAAATAGATCAATAATGTCAACAAATAATAAACAGACATATAAATAGAAAGAATTTACTGTGTTGTCCATCATGACAAATAAAATAAACTGATCACCGGTAAATAGTTTACTATTTGATCACTTCAATAATTCATCATTTTTTAAATATTATTAACATATTTACCATATTAACATCTTTCTCAAGCTGAAGAGATGCTTCGACAGCTTTCTCAGCAGATCCCCAGTCATTTGTACTTGGAGCAGCAATTGGAGAAAAGATAACTCTTCCTCCTCTTTTGTTTAAATAAGTCATCAACTTCATTGCATGTTCTCTTTCTTCCTCAGAAGCATGCTTGAAATATTTTGTGAAACCTTCTAAAGCTACATCATCTCTATCAAAATAATAAGCCTGTAAGAAGATCAAAACATTGTTAATAATAGATCTAGAAACTGTATTGTGAGTAATGTCAAAATTGCGCATTTATTTACGTACCATAGACATGTAAGCATAGCTGGCAAATAGTTCCATATTTATTTGTTTGTTGATAGCCTCTTCAGAGTCAGCATGGAAATTTTGGCGTACTTGATTGGATGCCATTGTAGATGTGTTAATAATTGTAGATCACACTGGATACTGACAATTATTCGAGAAAGCGTAAGGACTGATATACCTTACCAATTGGTGACGGGTTCTGATGACAATCCTTGTGCAACAATATATATAGTTCCACTAGTGACCTTGTTTAGAAGATATGGAGTAGTGGTGGGGAGGAGAGGGAATTTCAAACTCTTTCTAACTTTAATCTCAAGAAACGTTATCTTTCCTTGAATTGAACCCGTTAGAAGTAATATTAATCGTTTCTTATATTTTTTACAGAATTTGTACTATGTTTTACAATTAATATAAATTCATTTTTTAAGTTTATTAATGGTTTGAATTTGGGATTTAAAAAAGAAGAGGCACTGCTATCTGGCGATTTTCGTCTGCAATTCAAAGGGCCCCCATGGGTTCAAGTTTTGAAATCCGAATATTTTGACAATGCCAATTATAGGCTTAAACAAATGTATATTTATATTTTTCGACATTTTTTATGTCTCTCAAGCAATTACACACTGGGTCGTTACCGAAGAAGGCCGGATTCAAGCACAAGTATGAACTTGTTGATGTAATCATATTGTAACCTTTTATGTAGTGTTTATTTTTCACCAAATAAAATTTAAAAATTGAAGAGTATTTTTTAGTGAATTTTGTATTATACTACAATGATTAGCTGGCACTTCACATTACTAGAATTTAACTGAAGAAGATTTCAATATTTCTTACCATTATGTATATACATTCATAAAATTATTTAGTCAGAAAAAAAATCAAGTTATAATTTTTTGTTACAGTTAGACTCAGTGTTTCGACTCAAGCGACCATATGATTTAGTCGCATTTTTAAAACAAGAAGAATTGGTAAAAAATGTTTCCAAATACCTGGATGAGATGATTCAACGCAAAATTGACATGGATCAAAAGTGGTCCCGAATCAGTTCTGCTCCAGAAGTGGAACATGAATTAATGTCAACTGATACAGATTGCATTAAAGCTAAAAATTCTGCTGATGACGTAGATCTTTACATGAATGTATTTGATCACGCTTCAGATAAAATAATGTAAGAGATTATATGATAATTTATGTAATATGATTTTATATTCTACATGACGTAACAACAAGTTATTTTTGACATTAATTTGTATGTGTGGGGAACTAGATTTGTGAATTAAAAATGTTTAATAATTGTCAAATTATTATAACATTTTAGCTACAAGCGGCAATTACCTGATGATAAAAACATTAAAGGAAATATCCACTTGGACTGTAAAAAAATTTCTCGATTAGATTTCAGTATGGCTACATTTCCTCACTTGCAGGTAGATGGATTAGCATTGGTCGTGATTTCTGTAATAATATTTTAGCTTAATTTTATGAAGTAATTTTTATTGTAACTTATAAAAATTGTTCTTGTAGGTCTTGACTCAACCGTGGAACTTGACCTGGCCAAAAGAGCCTGAAATTAGACTTCCCTTGACTTCTAACCAAATCGCTTATGGTCTTTCAAAAAATAAAACTTCCTGGTATTTATATAATTTAGCATCTTTACATTGGCGGAGTAGAGGAGAGAGTCAAAAGGCCATTGACTGCATCAAAAGGGCAATTCATTATGCTCCCAGGTAATACATCATGTATTTTAATGTTGAATCCATACAAATATTTCACCAATGGAGATACTTTGTTATCTCCAAATTTAATTACTTTTCATTTTGTGTTTGATGTTATTTTATAAATACTTTACTAAAGTTCAAGAAGAGGTTTAGTATTTGATAGATTTGTCTTATGCGCTTAACTATGTAGTATTTAAAATTCCTTTGTGTTATTGACTTTATGTTACAAGGTTCTCCAAACAATTTAATTATGGATAATGTTTTGGACTTAAAATATTCCGTAATAAGAGAAACATTATTGTCTTGATTAAAAACTAAAAAAAAATTAAATTAAATATAAATATCATTCTTCCTCAATGGTACCATTGTTTTGGTTCCTAAATAAGAGTATTACAATGAACATTTTATAGGATGTTGATAATGAGTTTATTGTATAACTTAAATTCATCCACTCTGTTGCTAAATACATTATATAGAATTCTGCAAAATTATGTTATAATATATGCCTTATTGTTTTATTGTTATTATTAAAATCACTTTATTAGCTTTAATTATCACTTCTTTTGTATTAATATGTACTTTGTCATTTTTAGAGAATATAAAGATACACCATTATTAAATTTGGGTGTAATGTTACATCGTGCTCAGTGTACCGCAGAAGCTGCAATTCTACTTCATAGTGCAATAGATCATGCGCCTCATAAACCATTTGGTCACTTTGTATTAGCAAATGTTTATGCTTTGCTTGGTGATTATAACAGGCATGTGATGTTTTTATGTTGATATTAATTACAAGAATATATCAAAATATATATTATTAATTTGACACAAAGAATGTATTAAATTCATCTTTAGGTCTATTGCCTGCTATGATAATGCATTAGGATTAGACCATAACTGGAATTTAGTCAGAACTATGAGGCACAATATCCTTTGCCACAGCAAGTTAAAACAGAGACTTCAACAATTACAAAAGTATGTATTTTCATTGAATATGTATCAGTGCAAAAAAATAAATATTTTTAAACATGTGATTAATTACAGGCCGCATATACCATTACACTTTGGTATACAAATTGATATTATTAAAAATGTATGCTATTATTCTTGGATGTTCATTTTATCATTCCGTTCAGTGGTTCATAAAAGATTTTATTTGTTAATAGTCTGTTTTTGTTTTGTTTTTCGGTTTGATTTTTCCATAAGAGGTAGTTAATCAGGCTTGCATTTTATTTATAGCTATTCTTTTCATTTTAAAAATTCACTCCCATCTTGATATACATAAATTCAGTTATTAAACTTTTTTTCAGTTCCTTTACTATATCTATTTATATCTTGGTGATTTATCAAAACAAATGTAAAACCTTGATAGAGCAACAGCATTAGAAAATTTGATTATCAAAAACTTTCGACTATTGAGCCAGCAGTAAAGCAGAACCCAGCAATATATGAAAAACGATACCTTTTTCTTAAAAATATTGAATATATGTATAGTTCAAATTATTAACTATACTGACCAAAATGATTAACATTATTGTTATGAATATATTATATCTATTTTAATGGTAGTAATACAAATCTAAATCCTTAACTTTGTATTAATTTTATCCTGAATTATGTAGGTTTTTGTCGAATAAAATATACCCTAATTTTATTTATTTACTTTATTTATAACCATGTTACATAATATTTAATCATCAATTTCTATTCCTACATAATTATTTTGAAATTGTGATCATCCCATCATTAAATGTTTTTGTAAAATTTAACAATTGTAAAGAATTCTTTAAATTTACAAAGTTTGAAACATTAAAAATAATGTCAACTACTATTTACCCACTTTTTAAGTGGTTTTGAAAATCAAAAACAAGATTATATATCAGGAAACGGTTTTTCCAATGGCGTAATCGATTTCCTTGTAACTTTAACATGTCTGAAATTATTAGTTTTTCATCTCTTTTTAACAAAATGCAGAATATTATATGAACAAAACTTTTTTTTTTTTATTGTTTAACTGATTATGCTGAGATATATCCACAGTTTCCTATTTGTAACTTAGAAACAATGTATATTTTTATTTCTTATTTTTTTCTGTAATGGATAATCATTGAGTATTGAAAAGTTATAATCTACCTAAAAAGAATTTTCTTATAATTAGTTGGTTAACTTTGTGATTGAAGATATCTTCCTCTCCCTTTCAACCATACTAATCACTACTTAGAAAAACTAAACTAAGTAAGTAAAAATTATATTAGACGCCTGATAACACCAAAGGATAACATTTAAATATTGCTAGATCATGATTAGTATGTATTTTCATTAAAATTATTGCATTGTATTGCTAAATTAATTATTAAACTACTTGGATTAATAAAGATGATTATGTATCAATAATTCTAGAACACTTAAATGTAAAAAAGAAACATTAATTTGTATTATAACATTATATTTACAGTAAATTTTGTAAATCAATAATTGATTCCACAGCTATTAATATAATTTTCCTTAGAGGTTTTGGAGTTTTATTTTAATGGTTTTCTGCATCCAGTATTTAAAACTAGACTTATAATTAAAAAGAAAATAACATAAATTTTATTCTTTCATTAATGGAACTGATTTTCTTTTCAGATTCTCATTAGAAAAATTACAAGGTAATAATTGTATTTGTTATTTGTGTATAATTGGTGAATAATGTATGTCTAATATTATGCACTTTAATTTTAAGTCACCTTTTGCCAGCCGAGCAGTTACATATTGTTGTTTTCACCATTCTCATTTCATGTAATTTTGTTTTATCCATTTCAGTTGTAGTTAATTAGTTTTATTTGTTTTACCTTAAAAGAATTATTTTAATTTTGAATTATAATTGTCATCATTACAGCAAATAAACTGAATTTTAATTTAGGTTATAAACTTGTGTTTAATTGAAAAGCTTTTGTTTGTTCATTGGCTTTCACTTTTTATTGGTTATGGAAAATAATTCTATCCTACAATGAACTTGTATTTATGAAAAATATGATTACTCTTATTTTTCAGGCAACCTTTAAAATTGTATATGTTATTAATATAATGTCCTAATTTTTATTTATCTTTCAGGCGTGTGAGTTCTATAAAACTATGATTTACCACGAAATTCCCTGAAATGAATTAATCAATTTCTAGATTTTTTTTTTTAATTTCAAACTGCAAGCAAGTATATGTACTTGTATGTAATATCAGTAAAATCGGATGGGATTTATAAATTTTGAGCTGATAATATTATTTTTATTATATTTGATTTTTGATGTTAAGTATTTTTTTTTTATTTAACTATGAAATTTCATAATAAAGAATTGACATGGGATAAAATATTTATCATTTTCTTTGATTTAGTCATTTCAATTTTCAAATAATTTACTGGCTGTTCGTAGTAAAGAATAAGACCATTATTATTTACCTACAATTTTGCTTGAACTACATCATATTAAATATTAAATTATCATTATTGTATTATTAGATGAGAAACTGACTATCCGCTTCGGCCCTTTCCTAACCTTCTTTAACTTAAAAACTGAGAGTTCTTCTTGGTAGTAGACAATGGTTTTAGTCTTCATTCATTGCTGAGCTGTTTTTAAAATTTTAGTTTCAAATTTCCTAATATATCCGATAATTTTGTGTATTTAATAGATTATTTAATAAATTTAAAAATAAAATTATTGTTATATTTTTTTTTTCAGTGCTATACAAGACATTGTGGAACAGTTGAAGGAATATCAATTTCTTCAAGAAAAGTGGTTAAAGAGTCACGAAGAAATGATTCGTCAGCAGGCTCCGATGAATCGATCGTTTTCCGTTATGTTAACGTCAGCTGCAGGTTAGAATTTCAAGTATTCTTGAACATTTTTAAATTTTTTTTGTTATCAGTATTCTCAAATAACACTTGAAAGTACAAATAGATAAAACTTATCTTTGAAAAATATGTTATCTTCTCTTTACTGGGTTTAAAGTTCTTTGAAATCAACTCATTTAACCTTTAAAAATATTAATTGAAATTTAATACATTTAATTTACTATAATTGTTTCCTCATAATTTTGTTTTTCAATGCATGTTAGTTTTGCTGATTTCTTATTGCAATAATCTCTAATTCAGTGCATTTTATTAAAATTATTTTAGTTGTAAACTGTTGGAAATTCTGATATCAAATTTATTTAAAATACTTCATTTTTTTTTTTAATAAATATTTTCAAAGAGAATTATAAATAGTTTATTTAGTTAATTACTGAAAAGGCAAACAAAAATTATATACACTAGATTATTTGGATGAAGTGAATTGGATTTAAAAGGTTAGCCATTGAAGGACTTAAAAAAAATGTTCATCTTTAGTGGGTTACTAAAATTATTTTTACTTTGAAAAAAAAAATGAACTGAGTGTTTTAAAATTGTTTACTTAAGTAGTTTACTTAAGTATCAAAGCAACAAAGTTATAATTATTCAAGGCGAACATTATTCAAATAATCATTTGCATTCTTATAGGCTGCATGCCATCGTATCATTGTTTAGGATGTTGACCTGAGAAAGAAAATAGTAAGACATTCAACCATTAGGAAAGTGTCACAAAACGTTTTGAGAATTCAAAAACTCATGTTACTTTAAGTAGTAACCATCTGATACAGTTCTAAGTCAACATCTTTCTCAACTTTTAAGTCGATCTGATCTATGTTTATGCAGGCACCCTCACAATTTTGTCACATTTTCACATAGAAAAGATATTTTCTCTGCCATCAAAGGCATCCTCGCCACTCTTTCAATGTGGATGAGATGCTTGCAATGTTGGTATAGGAAAGGATATTGATACTAACAGAATTGATTGAAGGTTATTTTTTGAAGTATGAAATCATATATAATTAATTATCTGAACTATACTGTTACCATGAAGTAGACATTTGTAGATGTACATAATTCTATCATTAGTACTGCTACTGTTACTGTTGGGAGGAACTTGCCTGGCAAGTGGTCGTTTTTGTCTATCCTTTGTGGCTACCTTGATGTTGCAGCATACTTACTAGAGTGAGTGTCAAGATTCATTTCCCGAACCCACCGAGAAATAAATATTAACTGAACTGGTGATTAGGAATCAGACCTACACTGTTCAGAACCCAGGCACACTAGGACCCATACCCCAACATGCTCGACCATCGCATCCTCTTTATCATAAGTATCAGAAGATATGTATCATCTATTACTGTGACTTTTTCATAATGTCTTGCATGACTGTGAGCACAATCGACCAAATAATTGAATTTCCTAAGCAGTGAGGATATTAGTCTAGTTTTGTAAACACCACAAATACCTGAGAACACTAGCGAATCTAGGATTTAATTTTGGGGGGGCTTCAGCCCGAAAGATTTTTTTTCATATACATATAACGATAATTAATTTGAAAAAAAAAATGAAGAAATTTATTACCTATATGAAATGGTGTTTAAGTGGTTCTTGAAGTCCTATTAAATATAATTACACGAACAAGAATACTTTAAGAGATAGTTTTTAATATTTTTTTCTGTAAAACATGGTTACATTTTACTATTTTGGGGAGGGCTTCAGCCCGAAAGCCCCATCCCCCCTGTAGATCCGCCTGTGCCTGAGAATATCTTGCCATGGAACCACTCAATTTGATGGTCATAATATGGTATCATATTGGGATGAAAGCCTTGAATAACTTAAATTTTACATTAGACTGTTTACAAAGAATGAATTTATACCAATAACAACCTTAGCACTCTTTATACCCACCCACAAAATATTGGAGCTTGAGCCTTTCAAATGCAAAAAAGGATATCATTTAAATATAGTCATGTCTGCAGGATAAAAGATTTATTCAAATCAAAAATGTGCCATCACTGCAAAGCATTGTGTAACTACATAAATAGAAATATTTATTTTGATCTATATGATACATAGTACTATTTTTGAAATTGCTAAATGAATTTTTGACAATGAACTTTTGTTCTATTGTTGGAGTGTTTGCATAGAGCGTACCTACATAAATCAAATTTACTTAGAAGTTAAAGGAGATGAAATTTAAATATCTGATCAGATTCTTAACTTTTCAAAGTAACATATGATGTTGAGATTTCAAATTGTCAGAAATTTTTGTGGCACTTTCCTATTAGTTGAAGGCCTTTTACCTATAGTAGGAACTAATAATTACTTAAATAAACAACTTTGTAACACTTAAATTTTTTTTTTCCTCTTTTATATTAATAATTTAGTTTTCAGACAAAGATGTATTCATCTTTGGCTCATAGTGGTATTTTAATAATATTCTATTGCGTTCTAAAGCCTAAACTGACAAAAAATATATATATATATATATCAAATTTGAGAAAATTTTTCATATCGTTAATTTTGTATGTATATTTTTTTCTTAGTTTTAATAAATTTTTAGATAAAACTAAAAAATAGAACTAATTGCAATATTTTTGTGTTTTCTAAAAAATGCAAATTAGATGCACCATCTGATTCAGCACTCCAACAGAGGAAAATTGTGAAATATTTAATACATCCTCAATGGGGAAAATGATGATGATTAAGATTTAGGGCAAAACTGCATATTTAATTTATTTATACAGTTCTAAGGAGGAACACCCGGTCTGGCTAACAGCGGACCAACGGCATTTTACAAATTTTATAACTGTTCACTTAATTTTACTACTCGTTGCTCAAATTGTATAACTGTAATTTAAATGTATTTTGTAGTTAAGATTTGTTAAAACAGAACAAAACCACAGTTTTGACAAAATTTTAATTTCATTAAAAATCTATATTGTACATTGTGCCTTATTGTCAATGTATATTATTATACAATTATTCTTATTCCTAATTTTTAACCATAATATGGGAGAAATGATTCTGGGAATAAGAAGTGTGGTGTCTTCAATTATGGTCCATCCCGCTTGGTACACAATCATCACTAAAAAGTTTTTATATTATAGAGATAAAAAATATTTTATAAATCTAATATGTGTGCATATTATTTTAGGGTTTTGCCTTTTGTTTTTAATAAAAAAATGGTCTCAAATGTAGTAATCAGTTCAGTATTTAAATTCACTTAATTTTGAGTTTAAGTGAATTTAAAAATAAATATTAACAGCTTAAATCTTTTATTGATAAGTTTCAAAGTTTTTCATTTAAAAGTTATTTAAATATTACAGTCCTTTAAAAAAAGATATTATATTTTACCAAATATCACACCCTTTTCTTTTATTAAGTATTTTTTATAATACTATATCTTTCTTTTTTCAAAAATTACTAATAGAAAAGCAGCTTCAAGAAACATGTTCTATTAAAATTGGCAAAGAAAATCAAATTTTATCATGTGATTTAGCTCCTGATTTTAAATTAGATGAACAGAAAATTGATACTGATATCTTATCTCTTCAGACATTACTATCAAAAGTTGAAGCACAGGTAAGGATTTTTTTTTTTTTTATTTATAGGTTTTTAAAAATGAATTTTGAGTTATTTTATCTAGAAAATACGGATACGAATATTTCATTATTAAAGATGACATTGTAATATTCCTTCAATTTTTTTTTTTTTTATTGCACAATATAAAAGCTGTTGTTGGTATTACATACTAATTCTTTATCAATTTTCTTAATAATTAAAAACTAAACATATAAATGTTGGATTGGATTATGAATGTAAACTTTTTTTTTTTTTTTGGCTCAATTTGACAAATAATGTTCACCACCTACCTGCCCATCCCTTGAATATAGAGGAAGGGGAGGTTATAATACATGTAACAAACCCATTCTAAACTAGATTAGGAAGGTTGAGATTCATTCAGTGGTTCCACCATGGAATAACTTTAAGCCCATTTGTTTTAATTTAAATAAAAAAACTTTATTTTATGAAAATAATGTGTTTCTCTCTCTTTATGTGTTTTATAAATTGGTTCCGTATTTTAAAAAAAACCAACAAGTATTAAACATCCCAATATTGTCCATGCATTTAGCTTAAGGAACCTTATCAAAACCCGATTTTTTCAATTTAATGTCATATTTTTGGATTGGTACATTTTTGAGTAAAACGTATGAAACTTATAGTGAATAAATCTACTCCAACTTTGTTACATATAGTTTTATTGTTCCATGGAAATTGACTCCGTCATTACATAATTAAAGTTGTGAAAAATGGCAGAAATGTCGTTTCATTTCCAAATTTCTCAATTTCATTAATACTCATCTTTTGCAATGTCAGGATGAAAAAAAGATTAATTGAGAATCTTTCAGGCTGCTGTTGGGCATCATACATAAAGCTCTCAAGGTGCAGCTTTATGAACCTTTACCAACCACACTACTATATTCTTAATGAATTCAAACCACTGGACCACATAATCAAGGAAGAAACCTGCTGAAACCATGTAGATGCTCAAAAGATAATAATTTTTCAAAATTTAAATTATATTACAATAAAGCCTCATTACAACAAACTTAAAGAACCAGAATTTCTTTTGTTGTTAAACAAAATTTGTAATATCCGATTAAAAATAAAAATTAGTAGGTTAATAGTGTAAATTATTTTTTAAATAAATACCTTATATTTTATTATTTTACACAACTTTATTTATTAAAACCTTCACTGATCACACACCTATCAATTATGTTGTTATTGTTTAATTTGGTGGACAGTTTTGACTTTTGGATTGCGTGCTTCTTCATATTTTTTTTTTATTTTTACCAAATTTGAAAATACTAAAAATGTTGAGAGTGGACCGTTTTTTAACTTGAGTGATACGAAACTGCACTGATAATTTCTTACTAGTGAACATTACAAAAAATTAGAACATCTGAATGACTTCACTTAGATTTCTTGAATTCTGGGCAGAACAGTGAAGAAGAAATGTGTTCTTGTAATCAATGAACCATCCTCATTAAGACATTATCAAGGCAGTTAATATAAATAGAAGGGAGACAAATAATGGTACTAGTTCACATGAGTTCCGCACGGATTACGTGTGGTTCACAATCACTTCGGTCACACTTGTTCATGGAGTGCCTAATGCGTTCGGGTTTACTCGAAAGGGAACGAAGGCGACCGATCTCATGAGTCAGTTACTATTAACTTTCATGCCATTTAAGTACTTCTATAACCTTAACCATGTTCAGTTAAACAGCAGGAGCTGACTTATTTTCGAAATTTAGGCTACATCATGTAATCTTATTCCAACTTCTACATATAATATACAGCTGTGGAAAAGAAATAGTAACAGATAAAAATCTTTAATTATTATATCTCTGAATGCTATTTCACAATATTATTTTTCTTAATGATGATACCTATTATTCATTATCTCGGAATTAGCAGATATTCTTCGTCAGTTGTTTCCCCAATAAATTTTTTTTACGAATACTGCAATAAGTTCCCATTTTCGGATTACTAAGCAAAATAACTACGAATAACAATAATTACGCAGCTAATTCATTCAATAAAAATAATATAGATTAAAATGAGAAAATAAATTTTAAGTTAGCAGTATAGTCCAACTAACTGGCAGATCAGATCTAGGCGTCCCATTGGGATTGGACATTATTGGGGTATATATTTATTCATATAACGATTAATAGATACATTTTATTTATTAATATTGTCCCCTATTGTCGCACAATCTTTAATGTGACATTATTTTCATAAAAAGCATTCTTGACAACTTAATAGTGGACTCTTATATCTAAGAAATCCAAAAAGCTATAAAAACTGGAATGAACAATTTCAGATCCGACAGTATATTCATAAAAAGCTCTGATGACTAGAAAATAGTGGATCCATATATCTAAGAATTCAAAAAAGTTACATAAACTTGATGTTCAATCTCAAATCAGAGAGTATTTCCATAAAAAGAGTTCCCCACTAGAAAATAGTGAACCCTCATATTATTAGAAATCCAAAAAGTTACATGATCCAGAGAGATGATTGTGCAATTCTAAAGACGGCTTGGTAAAATAATTTCAAATAAATAAATAAAATAAATGGATGTCATGGAGTGATATTCAGTTAACTATTCTTTTCTGACCTGATGATGCCTGAATTGGCGAAACGTTGCCAGAGTTGTTTTCTTTGCCTGCATTTTGGAGACATAAGGCTGTGCGGTTTGGAATTTTTTCAAATTATAACTTTATAACATTTATGTTCTGTCTCTTGATTAGTTTGTTACTAATTTATATTGTTATAATTACTTTTAAATAAAATATATTATTTATGATCTATTTATTTCAGGCTAAGAAGATAAGCCAACAAATAAAGAGACCTTATTATGCTAAAGGACGTCCTACCATTGATATTCGTATCCAACAAATTGATGAGACTGAAAAAATTCAACAAGTGGCTGTGAATAACAATTTATAATAATAAGTCAATTTTATATATTTTTCTTTATGATACCCAAGTTCAATTTTTAATAAATTACTTTATTTATTTTCTAAATAAATGACTTATTTTTAATCCTCAAGACACTGATTCTGCTCTCCAACTGGGTGCCATTGACCATCATCCATTATTGCTTATGTATTTCACTGAAACTATTCACCGTTGCAAATTACTCCTCTCGCATTGCTAATTTGTTGCTTTGTATAGTACCTTTAAAAATTTTCAAAATGGTTTTTATTACTTATTATGGTTGTCAGGCTCTTCTGTTATAAAAGGAAGAGAAAGATAAGGAAATAATATTTTTTAACAAGACATAAAGAGTCCTTGCAGTATATTCTGAACCTGAAAGTGGGCAAGGTTTTATGTTAAATCACTTCTGTGGACTGAGGAAGAAAAGTTTAGGCTGAAGATCTCTCAACTGGATTTCGTTTCGAGTATGATGGAAGATGGTATTTGGAACAGTTATTAATGCAGGCTTCAGTTGAAGCTGAAGAAAAATTGGCCTTAAGATTAGTATCCATATAAAAGAACATGTTTTTATAAATGTTCATTTACAGTTTTGATAACAATGGTGGGTGATAAACAAATGATTCCATACTTTTAAATTTTTATTAATTTTTTTCTAAAAATTATTGAATTCCCTAAAAGTTTAAGAAGTTTACTTTTACTTTTGTTTAATTAATATCATAAACACAAAGATGGAGAAGACTGGTTTAGGTGACAAAAGATCTAGAAGGTCTGTTAATGCCAATAGAAAAATAAAGTTATCATAAACATTCAGAATGTTTTTCACATATGAGTATTGTTTCTGTAGAAGTTGAGCAGCATATGTTGATTTTTGCTTTATTAGTGAAATGAAGAAGTAATTTTTCTATGTTTCTGTGGAACTTCTAATAAATACTTCTTAATTTTCAGCTAAATACTGCAACAAATTTAAACATTCTTAACCACTTTTGTTTATAACATCGCAAGGTTTTTTCTTTGGAGTGGAGCAAAGGTGAAGGAGGTAATGAATTACAACTTGATTAATAGAAAGTAGTTGTCTGAGGATTTTCGTGCTCTATTTCCACAATATGCCTATCTTCATCAAATGCTATTTCTGTTTTGCTTTCTAACTGCAACCATTCAATCCAGAATCCTAAAAAAAGAGGATTGTTCTTTTTCAGTATCATTTAAAACCATGAGGCTGTTAAATAACACCTATTTTTCAGATTAACAGGGAACAATAAACCCAGTTGGAAGTTTTTCTTTTCTTATGATTTTCCAATAGTTGTCTCTTATACCTTTCGACTTCTTCTTGCACTGATTATCTGAAACATAAATAATTTTTTTTTTCTTTTTAGCTTTAAGACTTGTGAAAGCAAGTTCTATTTGGCTAATAAAACCAGGGAAATTTTTTTTACAGCCAAAAAAGTCAGATTTTTTCAATATTTTTTTGTTTTTTCGCATATAACTCCTAAACGATGCTTTAATAGATGACAGAATATTAAATTGTGTGTCGAACGAGTACATAAACTTCATAATTTTGTTATGTGGTAAAATATAAAATCACAGTCAAACAATGCTGATTTTTACCAAATTTGTGAAAAACTGAGACAAATCACTGTAAATGGCCCTCTAACTTGGAAATGAGTTCCCTAACAGAAAAAAAAAAACATATGATTAAAGTTGTAGAGCATCGAATTTTATGTCCACTGAGAACTGTCATTTTTACTTTCACTTACCTATATATGTAATATGTAGTAATGGTAAGTATTGGTAAGTATTGCGATCATGAAAATTTTCGAATCTGAGTTTTCAATGGAAATACAGGTTTTGAGGTACCCTGAGTCCTAGTAACCAAGTCCCGAAAAATTGTCTGTGTGTATGTGAACATCCTAGCTGGAAAATGAAAAGTCGTATGAAACTGATATTCCATATTTAAGATAGGTAAATACCTTAGATATCCTAGCAACTTTTTCATGGTATAATTAAATGGTCTTTAATACCATTTAGGTCTTATCCCCATTGATGTCACTTTACAGAGCTTAAATTCCCAATGTTCACATACGTCTTCCTCTAAAGTACCTTTAATATGGTTCATTTCAAATAATTAACTATCTCATTATTAAAAGTTATGAAAAAATGCTAAATATAGCTTTTGAAAGAATTTGATAATTAAATAAAGGAGAAAAAAAAGAAAAATACTTATCCAGGTTAAAAATTAGTGTTGCCCCAATGCGAGTCTTGGCCTTGCAAATTCAGTGTTGTTCTTGTGCAAGAGTCTCGCAATAGTCTTGCAATTACTTATCAGCTTTTTACTATAGAGCTTTACTGCATTTTTTTTTTTTTTAGATAGAAGAAACCTAACTAAGCCCGTATGAAAAATTAAGAGTTAAATGCAAAAGTATATTGATCACACCAATTATTAACATATAGTAACTCAGATTGTCAAGTATTTAGTAACTATTATGTCTTAATTTTGATATAAAAAATCAATTTTTTTTAGTTGTCCTGGTCTTGGTCTTGCACTTTGCAAGACCAAGACCAATTTTGGACAACACTATTGAAAATGAATATTCAGAAATAATAGTCAGAAGCTATACTTAAAATATATGATTGGAAAGTGGAGAATTAAAAAAAAAAACAATATATAATATAGAGAGTTGTAGAAGGCAACGGAGAGTGATGAAAAAAATTTAAATAATATCTTCTACCTTGCTTCCTCCTCGATCCCTAATAACCCTCCAAGGCGTCTGAAAAGAAGATGGCCTCGGGATCTTCTAATATAGAACTTTAATTTGAGTTCCACCAATGGGTAATTTCTCTTCATGTTGTACATGTCATGTTACCAATTTCACATTTATTTATTGTATTTTCTATGTAATAAAGTTGTAAATTCCTTTAAAATAATAAATAAAAAAAATAATAATATCTTCTAAAAACTAACATGATTTAACGTAAATGAGGTGTTTATAAGGAAATTAAATTAAATTTTCATACTAAACGTAAACTTTTAAAAAATGTTTTAAGTTTGAAAAAGTATTTAAAACTCATGTATTCAAGGCAATGATATTGTTTAAGATACTATTGAATTGTACTTGTGTGAAAGAAGAAGTGAAATATAAAAATATTTCATGGAAACGTTTATAGTATTAAATATATTTACTGTAGTTCAATAACTCTAGATCTGATATTATATTTAAATAATTATTTATCTATCATCCGTTTATTCTGAAATAGCATTATGTAACCTTTTAGAAAATTAATTTTAAATTTTTCCTTTGCTATATTCCAACAGAATCTACTTACAATCAGTGTGATAACTTTTGACCAGTATATGACAGACAATGCAAATCTCTGTATTCCGTTTTAGTAAACTTTACAATGGAAAATAACAATTTAATTATTAATAGTCGTACAATCCGTAATCAAAGCATCGTACAATCCATAATCAACACATCATACAATCCATAATCAACGCATCGTACAATCCATAATAAATAGGAGTTTTGTTATTTAAATAGTATTAGCTGTAATCTTTTAGCTTTAGGTCAGTTAAATATGCAATTCAAAAATTTTAGAATAGACCAACATGGCCAGATAATAATTTCTGTTCAAAGTTGAGCGGTAAGTGAAAGTTGTGTGTTGTGTGCACCAGATTTTTTGAATGTCTAATTGTGTAATCACTCAAAATTTGAGAATTATTTTTATTTCACTACTCTATTTTATAGTGTCAGTTCCCGCTTTACTCCTGATCTCATAAAATTCATTTATTGCCCAGTAAGATGGTTAAGGTCCTTTCATTTCTAATGCTTATAAAAATTTAGTATACATTTCTTATCACTGTGACAATCAGTGTATTTTTTGTTTTTTGCTTTACTCTTAAATCTGTAAATTTTAGGCCCAGAATTTTCTCAATGAGTGAACTAATTTTTTCTCACGTTTTTTTCAATATATTTTTTTCCTGGTCAAAAAAGGGTTTTCTGATCTATGTGGACATTCTGGCTTGAGAGAGTATATGCTGTTTGCATTTTGTGGCATGTAAACTAATTGACTTTATTTTTATTCTACTTTTTCAAAATATTAATTTAAAAACTCATATTTGGATGGTTTTAAGTTTTATAATTGTATAAAATCATGAAGATTAGTCTACTGAGAGAGTTATATCTTTTTTTCACAGTGATTATATTACAGAACTGGCTATATATGGAACTATATATGGAACGCACCAAGTTAATTTGATAGAAGATTCAAAATAAAAATAAGTATTAACACTCTAAATTAATTTTGTTGAAGAAATTAATTTAAAGAAAATTAGGGAGGATACTCCTAACCACAGGCGGACTTTCTGGCTGAAATGGAGGGGTCCATGTCAGAATGAATCATAAAATCCTTGGATACACAGATGATATAGATGTCCTTGGAAGTAATCAAGAAGACATTGAGAAACTCCCTACAACACTGATAAGAGAGGTAGAAACACTAACCAGCAGATCGGCCTACAAGTAAATGAAGACAAAACAAAATATATGATAATAAGCCGAAAAGTCCATCCCAATAACAGGATCTGGGTAGAAGGAAAATCATTCCCGAATGTAGAAAAATTCGAATATCTCGGCTCCACAATAACCTCAATGAATGACCAACGGGTAAAAATAGACCAGCGTATAATTAGAGCAAACAGAGCTTTTTTCTCTCTCTCAAAGGTATTGAAATTCTGAAAAATCTCAAACTAAAGGTGTAAAATGCTATGATACAGCCAGTTCTAATATATGACTGTGAGACATGGACACTAACCAGCACCCTAGAAAACAGTGTTGAAAGAGTTGAGAAGAAAATCTCCCGCACGATAACCGGAGCGCTCTGGGATCAGAGTACTAACACATGATGAAGAAAGACCAATAAAGAACTGATTACAGAAACTGGTCAATCAATATCGCATGATATGAAGGCACGGAGGTTAAGATAGGCGGGGCATGTAGCTCGTAGCAATCCATCTGGAAGCCACTACGTAACAATGAATGCCTCAATAGAAGGCAAAAGACCACGTGGAAGGCTAAAATAGATGGATAGGTAGAATCAACAAAGATACAACAGAGCTACGTGCAGATAAATGTAAAGAAATAGCCCAAGACACTCAGAGATGGAGCAGGCTTGTTAAGGCGGCAAAAGATCTACATGGTCTGTAATAAAAAAAAAAAAAAAAATATATATATATATATTATTTCTATATTTAATGCAACAATTAATCATCAATACCTTCACAAGGGATTTTTTTTATCTCTTGAGTTAGCATACTAATATAAGATGTAATTAATTAT